GACACTCCTTTTGTGTTTAATAACTACTACTTATATTTTTACAGCAGCTGGCATCCAGCATTTTGGTGCATTAGCCTGTTTATTGGTGACAGGAAAACCCACTTAAGTGCATTCCTGCCCCCTACTGGACATAAGTGTGTATCATAACCCTTGACGAATAGTGACACCAATAATAAAACAAACATAAAAAAAACTAATATTAGACAAACATATTTTATTCAAAATGATTACTTAAGCAACTTTATATTTATTAAACCATAATAACATTTCCAATAATTTAATTGCATAATAAACCTTTAATTTTGCAGGAGCATTCCTTTGCATTACCTTTTTATTTATTTATTTTTTAGAATTAGGATAATCTATTTTCATAATTCAGCAGATGTAATTTCTCTAATAATCACATTATTTCTGTTTCTTAAGGTTTGCAATAACCTGATTCATGACAAATAATAATCTTGCTCATTACACTCAAAGGACTTTTACGTTGAAATTAAACGACTTCCTTTTAAAGTGAAATAACTTCCTTTTACTGTGAAAATTCATGCATACACACATATGAAATCACTTGCATATATGTATATACACAACTAACTGTATATATGTTTGTGAATTTTATTTTGTATGTTTGCACAAGTGTCATTTGGGTGTTTATGCACACATCAAGTTTATATTCTTATGTGAGAGTTTATGGGTGTATATGCATAGATCAAGTTTATATGTATATGCAAGAGTGTATAGGTGTGTTTGCATGCAGCAAGTTTATATGTATGTGCGTGTGTTAATGTGAGTGTTTATGTGTGGATCGAGTTTATATGTATGTGCGTGTGTATGTGGGTGTATTCATGCGTCAAGTTTATATGTATATACACAAGTTTCATCCATGTTGTTTTGAACATTCAGTAGTATAGGTGTATATGCGAGTAATTTATAGGTGTATATACACGTGTTTTATGTATGTGTTGATAAGCAAAGTTTGATTTAAATCCTATACGGCACCTCATAGCTGTCTCTGAAATCTATAAACACTTTTTTTTGAACATTTTCTCCCAACTTCGCAACAATGGCCGACAAACCAGAACTAAGCGGGCCCTATTACTTCAAGGCGGAACTAAGTCACGAGCCTGCGTGCAAGTAGCGCATTGGTTAGGCATTACCACACTATGCTTTATAAAGCCATCGTCCAAAGCCCTCTTGAACGAGCAGCGTTCTTAAGGATTTGAGTTTTGTTAAGAAACCGACTGCTAAACATCCCGCTGCGTAAACACTCGTTACTCTTAACAAAAAGCAACCATGGCACCTGTACATTAGGCACTGCTGGGATTTGAACCCAGGATCTCCTGTTTACTAGAGGGGCACTTTGACCAACTAAGCCACAGCACCAACGCTAGAAAGGAGGCAAGACGTTTTTGCACACAGAGACTAAAAAAAGACAGCAAGTCTTAAAATGGCAAGCAAAGAGGTTGTTTAACTCTATTTTACTATTTATTACGCCTCAAAGCTATACAATTTTATAATTCATTCCGGTAAGCTCTATAAAACAAGCACATGCACCATCTGGACTAAGGCGCTGCTGGGATTTGAGACCAGGATCTCCTGTTTACAAGGCAGGCGCTTTGACCAGCTAAGCCACAGCGCCACAAAATTCACAGTAAGAGACATTTGCCCGATAACAAAAATCAAAGAAGAAAAAAATAATACACAACAAAAACCAGCATGTCAGGATGCAGAAAATGCTGACAAGACGGACGTGGTCTTTTAGAGTCTGGATGATCATGTCTCAAACCTGACCGGTAACCTGGCCTCTGTTCAAGATCAAAGCAAAAAATGTGTGAATTTATTTTTACTAACTTTATTTTTAACTATTTTTACTAGGCTACATAACAATAAAACAATATTCTGGACAAACTAAGACATTTTGCAAACGTTTAACCGTGGCAGAACCCCAATAATTAGAAAAAAAAGAAGAGAAAGACAGACAGAGTGATAAAAAGGATAAATAGAAATATTAATTTAGAATCACGGATGACTTATTTGAGCGCAATAGCCCAAATACATGTCATAAAATATTAATATTAACAATCATAATTTAAATAATGAAATTATATAACCTATCCCAATCCTGACATAGCTGCGTTTAAATAATAACTGAAGACGCTCCTTTAATGCATTCGCACGTTATGTTAAATTATTTTAAATTAGACAACCCATCCATAACCAACCTTAAATCATACCTGAACACTGTTTAACAGTTCCAAGTAAACTGTTGTGTGACATTCTCATAAAATCTCTCTGCTTTTGAATATCTTTGTTCGTAATTGTTCTTAGCCCTGTCAATGTTTATCTATTTTGTATTGTTATAATATTTCCTTTCTTGTTTCTCTTACGTTTATATTCTTTAGCTGTCAATATAATACTTCGCGTCTATGGAATAAAGAGTCAATAAAGATAGACAATGTGTAACATCATATTCATCAAAAGACGGTTTATGTGCAAGTAACTGCACCGGTCCGAGCAGGGAGCGAGCCGGCATGGGAGACAAGCTCCGATAAGATTGCAGAACAACGTCTGTCACTGGATCCGAGAACTGAGATTTACGCGATCACCAGCTGGCTTCCGTTACATAAGGGCAAATATAGATGACTAAAACCTCATTAACTCATTTTACTCATACTTTTTATCATTTATAATGTCCAAAACATTGATATTAATATTAAATGCTACTTTTGTGCCTTTAATAGCCTTTTTCTCGCCTGTTTACTGGGTTAAAAATCTTACATTCCATCTCCACCTGCTGGTGAAAGCTAGAGCAGCTGGCGATCTTCAATCTGCAATCTATTGCTTTTCCTGCAGTTCCCAGATGTAATGTTAAATTTTAACAGTCGAATTTGATCCACTGAATTTATGGAAGCGAATATTTGAACTGAAATAAAATGAACTGAAAATGACCTTTTGAATATTATACATCGTATTTTTAAAGGGTATTGAATATTTTGTAAGTGAAATCTGAAAATTGAATATGAATTATTGAATTTTTAAGTATGAAAACGTGTTTGAAATATTTTTTGTTGAAATATTCAAAGCTTAAATATACAGATATGTTAAATTTCAGGACCTAAAAATACAAACCCTGGAATTCAAGTCATTAAAATGCAAGAACTTGTTAATACGGTGTATTATTTTTTTCAGTTTGTGATATTCAACAAGCTTTTTAATTCAAGACTTTAGGCATTGATTTTGTTCCATATTAGCTGTGGCTAATATTTACCTTAAGGCTAAATGATCAAAGGGAAGGCCCATTTCTTTTATCCAGTTTTCTCCTGTTTTGTGGCTAGTTATGGAGGTTAGAATTGTATGCTTAATTTATGGAACTTTATTTTTTGGTATGGGTAAGAGGTTTAATATTAGGTAGCGTACCTTGTTTTGTTTGTTGTTTTGGCCTTTTTGTTCCCTAATTCTGATTTTGACCTTTTTGTTTAATTAATCTGATACCCCTTTTTGACAACTTGGCCTGTGTGTGTGTGTGCTTGGGGAGCAGGAACGGGGACTCCAGGTGACCACTTTTTATAGCGGTCATCCTTAAATTTATGTGCGTAGCGGGGTGCATCCGCTACGTAACAGTATCTTACCAATCTTGTTTATATTATTTACGTGACCAACGATAATAACATAACACAGTACTGAGTTAACTTTTAGCAAGGTAACAAGATCTACAGCTCGAGGCAATGACTTAGAAGCACATAAACAAGAACACAATTCTTACAAAATGAGAACAAAGATTTATTGAGCTACACTACGATACATGAAACTATGTAATAAGCAAACAACAAACAAACTCGCACACACAGAGGCAGTTCAGAGGATGTAAAATGAGTTGACAACCATCCCAAATTAATTCTAATACTTTTAACAAGATCTTAGAATAACACCTGAGAAACCACAAAAGCAGAGATATGGCTTACCTTTAACTGTTTAAGATCAATTTGCCCCAGATCAGTAAGAGACAACGTTTGTTTGTTACTTGCACTTTTGCTGAAGATGAATCTCCCTCGTCAGCTGGCCTTGGGGAAACACAGTGCTCCTGATTGGCTGGTGGCTTCTGTGACGTCCTTGGAATTCCCTCGCATGTGGGTGTGGTAGTTCTGGGTTACTGAGGTGACGGACTGCTGAAAGTCGGTTTGCGGAAGTTCGTGCGGTTTCAAAGCAAAATTTCTTTGTTGCAGGGTGTCTTTAAGTGACCTGGTCTGATCCATCCCTATGGCACTGTCTGCCAATGAGCAATTGCCATGAAGGGCGGGGCCACACCCCGTGCCGACGTAGAAAGGGTCAATCATTAACACACTGCATGTAGATTTCACGGGGAAGAACTCTTGCAAGATTGAAACTATCTTACATCAAATGTTACAAGACGAATACTGTTTGTACTACTAGTTTTTCATTTACACGAACAGATTGCAAATGTCACTAGCTTTCATTCAAGACCAGATCTCATACATTTCAGACACACGCAGATCAATTTAATCTGCTTTAAGGGTTAAAACAACACATTGATTAACCTGGTTGGTTGAAATAACCACAGCATATGAGGAACATTATGGTGTATTATTCAAAGATACATCTGCCTTAGTTCTAACATTTTAAGAGATTTACTTTCATTTGTATGCATTAATGTTTCTAGAGATCTCTTCGTCTCTACGAAATTGTGCATCTGACAGGATGCACAATTTCAATGTCATTCAAAAGTCTTGTGAGGCGGTTCCTGCTGAAAATCCCGTAAAACCCCTTTGTTTAGTTTAAATCATTTACTAATTTTGCTGAAGGGTACCTGGAACATCTGCAGCCAGAGTATTGGTCAGAATAACCCAAAATCAATTGGTGCTTTGTTATCGTGATGGTTTAAGCCCTTAAGCCAGTTCAATGACTGAGACAATTTGCAGATGCCCAAGATTTCAGATTCAACTCGTGTTGACCACTGCAATATGCCCATGAGTTCCTTCAATGTGTTTATTAAGGTGTGATGATTTGCTGAAACTCTCCCCACACTGAGTGCACGTGAATGGTTTCTCTCTAGTGTGGATCCTCATATGGTGATTAAGGTTTGTTGAGCAGTAAAAACTCTTCCCACACTGAGTGCATGCGTATGGTTTCTCTCCAGTGTGGATCATCATGTGTAGATTAAGGTTGGATAATTGGCTGAAACTCTTCCCACACTGAGTGCATGTGAATGGTTTCTCTCCAGTGTGGATCCTCATGTGGTTATCAAAGTTTGTTGAGCAGTTAAAACTCTTCCCACACTGAGTGCATGCGTATGGTTTCTCTCCAGTGTGTATCCTCATGTGTTGATTAAGGTGTGATGATTGGTTGAAACTCTTCGCACACTGAGTGCATGTGAATGGTTTCTTTCCAGTGTGAATCATCATATGATAATTAAGGTGAGATGATTGGTTGAAACTCTTCCCACACTGAGTGCATGCGTATGGTTTCTCTCCAGTGTGGATCCTCATGTGTTGATTAAGGTGTGATGAGCAGTTAAAACTTTTCCCACAATGAGTGCATGTGAATGGTTTCTCTCCAGTGTGGATCATCATGTGTAGATTAAGGTGTGATGATTGCTTGAAACTCTTCGCACACTGAGTGTATGCGAATGGTTTCTTTCCAGTGTGAATCATCATGTGATAATTAAGGTGAGATAATTGGTTGAAACTCTTCCCACACTGAGTGCATGTGAATGGTTTCTCTCCGGTGTGGATCATTATGTGAATCTTAAGTTTGCTTTTGGCAAGGCAAGGCAAGTTTATTTATATAGCACATTTCATACACAATGGCAATTCAAAGTGCTTTACATAAACAAGAATAAAAGAAACAAGTAAAATAAAAATAAAAACAAATAATAAAAATGCATAAAAACAAAACAAAACATAAAAACAGGTAAAATGTGATATAAAAGAATGAAGAAGAAGAGAAAAACATGATAGTGCAATCTGTCGGACGCAGCACAGTGCTCATTCAGTAAAGGCACAGCTAAACAGATGTGTTTTCAGTCTTGATTTGAATGTGCCTAATGTTGGAGCACATCTGATCATTTCTGGAAGCTGATTCCAGCAGCGAGGGGCATAGTGGCTAAAAGCCGATTCACCCTGCTTTGACTGAACTCTTGGAACTTCTAGTTTATATGATCCTAAAGATCTGAGTGATCTGTTAGGTTTGTATTCAGTGAGCATATCTGTGATGTATTTAGGTCCTAGGCCATTTAGTGATTTATAGACCAGTAATAATACTTTAAAATCTATTCTGAATGTAACTGGCAGCCAGTGTAAAGACCTGAGGACAGGTGTGATGTGCTCTGATTTTCTGGTTCTGGTTAGAATTCTGGCTGCAGCGTTCTGGATGAGCTGCAACTGTCTGACTGTCTTTTTGGGAAGGCCAGTGAGGAGTCCATTACAGTAATCCACCCTGCTGCTGATAAAAGCATGAACAAGTTTTTCTAAATCTTCACTAGAAACAAAGCATCTGATTCTTGCTATGTTTTTGAGATGATAGTATGCTGATTTACTGACTGCTTTGACATGACTGTTGAAACTCAGATCTGACTCCAGAGTCACACCAAGATTCTTGACCTTATTTTTTGTCGTTTGACCTTTAGTGTCAAGGTACGCATTTACCTTGAGAACCTCATCTTTGTTTCCAAACACAATAATTTCAGTTTTCTCTTTGTTTAACTGAAGAAAGTTTTGGCACATCCAATTGCTCATTTCATCAATGCATTGGCAGAGGGTGTCAATGGGGCTGTAGTCATTAGGCAGTAAGGCTAGGTAGATCTGAGTGTCATCAGCATAGCTGTGGTAGGAGATTTGGTTCTTTCTCATTATTTGGCTTAGAGGGAGCATGTAAAGGTTGAACAGGAGAGGTGCCAGAATCGAGCCTTGTGGGACTCCACACGTCATGGGTGTCCACCTCGACCTATGGTCACCTATACTGACATGGTAACCTCTACCTTCTAGGTAAGATCTAAACCATTTGAGGACTGTGCCAGATAGCCCGACCCAGTTTTCCAGCCTATCCAGAAGTATGCTGTGATCGACAGTGTCAAATGCAGCACTGAGATCCAACAATACCAGCACTGTTATTTTACCTGAATCTGTATTTAGGCGTATATCATTGATTATCTTTATAAGAGCGCTCTCTGTACTGTGATGTGCTCTGAAACCAGATTGAAAATTGTCTAAACACCCCCTGAAGTTTAAGAACTTGTTAACCTGGTTAAAAACAACTTTTTCAATGATTTTGCCAATGAAAGGGAGATTTGAGATTGGCCTGTAATTGCTCAATAGGGTGTTATCCAGGTTGCTCTTCTTCAAGAGGGGTTTAACAACTGCAGTTTTAAGTGAGGTTGGAAAAACCCCTGATAGAAGTGAAGCATTTACCACTTTTAGAAGATCCATTTCTAAACATGTAAACACCGTTTTGAAGAATGATGTGGGGAGCGTGTCAAGACTGCAGGTTGATGTTTTCATAACTTGCACAGTCTCTTCTAAGATTTTGCTGTTAATTGCCATGAAATCAGACATAGTGTCTGATTTCTTAAGTTGTGGTTGAGCTTGTTTGATATCGACACAACTTGGCTGATTGGATGAGCTGATTGCCTTTCTGATATTATTAATCTTATCAGTGAAGAAATGAGCAAACTCATTACATTTGCTTTCAGAGAGGAGCTCACTGGGAATCTGACTGGGGGGGTTTGTGAGTCTCTCTATCGTTGCAAAGAGTGTACGAGCATTATTTAAGTTGCTGTTTATAAGGCTTGAAAAGAAAGTCTGTCTAGCAGTGTTTAGTTCCATATTAAAGGCATGAAGACTGTCTTTATAGATGTTATAATGGACTACTAGTTTCGTTTTTCTCCACATACGCTCAGCTTTTCTGCACTGTCTTTTCATCATTTGTACTCTAGGTGACCTTGTCCAAGATCCCTTTTGCCTGCCAGTTTTGGTTGCGAAACTCTTTCCACACTGAGTGCAGGTGAAACGATTCTTGTCTCTCCTTTTTAAAACACCATCAGTCTGTAAATGAGTTTTTTCCACAATTTTGACATGATGTTCCTCCTCTTTACAATCCTCATTCTCTTCAATTAGGTCTGAAATAAATAAAACATTAGTTTTCATTAAATCCTAAAAACTCTCATCAAAAGCTGAAAAGTGAAAAGACACTGGAAACATTGGCTACACACACTGTAATTTTGATGCACATTGAATGTCAAATAAATCAGATCATATTTTGTTTGGTCCATTATTGTGTACACATTTAGGCAGATTCAATTCAATTCATCTTTATTTATCTAGTGCTTTTACAATGTAAATTGTGTCAAAGCCACTTAACATAGAAGTTATAGTAAATTTAAACAGTGTCAGTCCAGTTTTCAGAGCTTTTCATAAAAGTCATTTTGGTCATATTGATAAGACACAGATTTCTACGATTTGTAAAGTGGACAGGGAATACTTGTTTGTTGTGTGCCTGACTGGTAAATGTATCAGAAAAAAAGTTCTGGGGTAAGAGCTGAATATTTGCCTGTGTGGAAATATAAATTTCTATCATCTAATTCCAAATGAACAATAATCTACGTATAACTAAAAAGTTATATTCTTTGGTTTTTAATTATATGATTTCATTAACATCCCAGCTTGGAGGAACATTTAACCTTAATCTTTCTGACTACAGGCTAAGCCAGTGATGCAAATGCTTTAAACGACTCTGTCTTTGTCTTCGGGTGTTGCTTTTATGCTACAGAAACCCTATGTTGATTAACTTGTGTGGTCAGTAGCTGGGCCGTTTTTTAACACCTATGCCATGCTGACTCCAACTCTTAATTTGCATGCTTTGTTTAGCCATATCCCCTCCTCCTAAGAACACAATATAGACAAGAAATCTTTGTCTTAAATTAGACTTGTGTGAGACTTGTGAGAGACTTGTGAAAGAACTTGCAGACTGCGGACCTCTAGTAGGCTCTTGCAGACACATGGACATCTTAAAGACGCTGTATGACTGCAGATTAACCAACACGTCTTAATAAAGGAATTCTGCTTGTTTCGAGTGTCCTGGACTGGGTTCTCTCTTCTTTTCACTCATTTATTTTTTTACAACACCTGGCAGATATGAGACAGTACAGCAGTACAGCATCTGCATAAAGGCTGGAATGTGCACCTTTCCTTTTGTTTGCTGTTGGGTCATTTTCATCCATTCTGGGGTGATTTTGAGGCTTAATTTGGCCAAAACGTTCTCAGTGTTTCAGCAAATGGACTGATATTTGGGGACATCTTATTTTGACATATTCTGGAAAAATGCTCCATTGGCCTCTATTATAAAATTTTTTATAGTGCAAATAAAATACAATAAATAATAATAACAACAACATGGAAATCACTCAAATAAGCATATAAATGAGAGTAATAAATTCATCAAGACACAATGAAGTCCCCATCAATGGGAAAATGCTTTAAATTTTTTTTTAAAAACCTCAATACACTCTGGGCAAATTTACTCCCTTTTCGTTAGATTCATGGCTGTTTTTTCTCCATTGACCTCTATTATAAGAACATTTTTTTTTATTGCAAAACCATGACAGCACATATTCATGAATTTATGATTGTTGGTGTTCTTTGTGACGACATTGTTTAATTGGTCCTCCCATATGACGGCAAAAAGGAAATGGGTGAGAGAATAAAGGAGGAGGAGGAGAGTTAAAGAAGGCAGCATTATGTTGTGTGTAGAAGAAAGAGAAGTTGACTGTACTGTTGCTGTGTGGGGAAAGGAGTAGAGAAGTCGGGTCGAGATGAGCAGTGTAAACTTAACGACTGGCTGTGAGAAACAAAAAGCGGAAGTATGTATTGAAGCAACAGAGCAAAGGCCGCTGTCTTGTTACTGAAGTGCACGTGACGTCGTTTGAATGTGTGCGTCACTAAAGACTTCAGTGCAGTGTGTCCTGAACAAAATCAACTTACCGATCTATCTTTCTCGCTGGCATGGAGTCAGCTGCCAACTCACCGGCTGGGTTCACCAACACCCTCAACCTTCACATCCACATTCGCCATTCCCCACTCATGTCCCTTGACCCCTCCGCTTCGTGGGTAAGAAGCAAAAGTTTTTGTTTTCTTTCCCCAAATTCTCATTTTGTTTCTCTTGTTTTGTTTTCTCCCTGTACTATTGTTATCATTATTTTCCCGGTTTTCAAATCTGACAAATCTGCTGGCCTGAAATCATTTGCATTTTTTTCTTTCAACTGAGTTATAAGTGCTGAGGGTTCTGCGTTTCATTGTTATATTGTTTGTTTTGTTGTTGATACTGCTGTTTGTGCATGAAAAGTACAAAGTGTTTTTATTATCATTTTTGAATAATACAAACTTTATTTAGACAATTACAGCAATTATCTTAGTTTTTTCTGGTTCTCATTGTTTGTTATTTTATTTATTTTTTTATATTTGTAACTGGTGGTGAGAGCTAGCGTGGTATATTTTGTTTGAAATGTATTTTGACAGGTATTCTGTCTGGCGCCCAAGATTAACTACTTAAAAACAAGTGACAAACATATTTGTTTATTGTATTTTTGGGGGGGAATCACCATTCCCACATCACCATTACATTTCCCTGTTGGGAAGAGATTTGTGATTTTTAAAATTGATTATCAGTTTCAGTGCAAAAAAGTTTCTGCCTTTTATATGGAGTATAGTGTGTGTGTGTGTGTGTGTGTGTGTGTGTGTGTGTGTGT